CTGTAAATGGACCAAAATTGAGTAAAATCTTGCATTTCGCTTCAAAGGACCTCGAGCGCAGTGTCATTTGGTGCTTCCAGGGCGTTCTGATATTGCCTGTACCGGCTCAAGTGTGCAATTCCTGTGCGTGTATGTGCTCTTGTTACGAGGCCGAATGCAAACAGTCGGAAAGGCCTCTGTTTATAACTTTTCGCCCATGCTACCTTGACACGGCTTTGCGCAAGAGTTTCACTTGTTCATCGGGACTTGGTCACTCTTCGACGATCGGATTTCGCTTGCAGCCCCCGCGAAGGCCTGTCAGGCGAAAGCGGACCTAAAAGCAGACAAATTGCCGAGCATTTCAGTTGCTCCTCGCAAAGAGCAACTCTGGCGGTCAAGGCTGTCGACTTGGAGAAGCCTTGACGGCCATTCTGAAGGTACCGGAAAGCGATATCAAATGGCCCAAGTGGCGGTTGCGAAGGCATACACTTACTTTCCTCCGGATGATCCGAAAGCGCAGGAAATGCGTCAACAAGCCGAGGCCGATCATGACGAAGAGAGCTGTAAAGAAGGCGGCAATTATGGTATATGGACCCAGAAGTCTGATGGAATTTACACTCTTGAAGTGGATAAATTGCTCGCATTCCAGGCCTGAAACAATGGGCAGGAGGAGATATCTGCTCGACGAGTTGACGTAGACAACCGAAGTGTTGCTCTTTCCCGTCGTAATGAACATGTCGAGGACGTGGCGAAACTGAGCGATGCAGGCGGCACATCGTCTGTGCTACAGAAAACCAGACTCGCCGAACATTTGTGTCCAAGCGGAGTAGGCAGGCGAGCCGGATTGGTCAATCGCCCCCTACTTTGTGGGCCAATAGAAAGCGGAATTCGTCAGACATTTTCGCCCAACTGGGAAATCAGCCTCTTTCGCCACACATTCAGACGCCCGGCCTTGGCTGGCATTTCGGGAAAGAAGACGAAAAGAGGGCATTTCAACTCAGTTGGAAGACGAACAAGGGCTCAGCTTTTATGTGTTCTATCAAAGACTATGTCATAACAAGAAACCACACTTTACGAAGAGGCATACTGACTGACAACAGCCTAACACGGATACATCTGGGTCGCCGCAGTCTTCTCTGCAAAGCAATCTTTTTTCCATTTCTCACCAACCAACTTTTTAGGGCTATGTCGTTTGTGGGCATATATGATTATGTTTTCGCGTTTCAGCACAGTTTCAAAGCCTCCTGTAGATCTGGAATGAGTGAGTGTACACGGAATGTCGTATAAGGTGATGAAGACTGATAGTTGACTCACCCCATAATGCTATGGGAATAGCTCGAATTTCACATGCCCAAAAGGAACCATCATCCAAGCGGGAGTGGACGACAGTTTCGAACTAGCCTGCAGAACTCAGCAGAGGTGAAATCCACAAAGGGCCGGGCATTTCCCATCTCTATTTCTGTGGTTGGATCGTCGATGCAGTTAAGTTGTATTTCATACTACTTCCTACTACTTACTAACATAGTTTAAGCGAAGATATGGCGCTAAGAATGGCAAGACTCACTGGCGATGCCGGCCAAATGTCTCGAAATGCACCACGTCCATGGTACTACTTTGGAAATGATCATGCATACAAGGTCATACAATTACTATATTACTTACTTTCCATTTATAAGTAGGATTTCGAAACTAACACTAGATCGTATATAAAAGCGATATTCACAGTTTTCGTCACCTTAAACGAAATTGACTCAAAGATCTTCTTATAAACGTTAAATAAGTCGAGTGTATTAGGCCCCGGAGGTGCTGATGAGGCCTCGGCGAGAAGACCCTTTGGGACTCGGGGCCATGTGAAATTCAATGAAAACATAAGGCCCACTCATATTATTATGGGAAAATTAATTTACCACTCCTTCATCGCCTTAAACGAAATAGGGTGAATATCATTCTTAGATAATATGAGCTGGGAGTGTCGAAATGTTGCTTATAAACGGCGAATGATTTCATGTTAACTGTAAAAATCTCGCAATTACCTGTACTTCTTAAATGTATTTCGAAACCTCTTTTACTTGGTACATAGTAATGTCTTTAATTAAAATGATCAGTAGAAATCTCAAGCATCAGCCCTTGACTAGAATGACCAATTTCTCATTCGAGCATTAATGATGGTATTGAAACCTACTTATATTGAAAATAAGTAGTAGGGTTACCCAGTGGAACGAAATCGAAATTGCAGTCCAATCTGGATGATTAATTCTTGTGAAAGACAACATTAAGTAAGGTTAAATGTAATTGTGAGGCTCTCAACTAATTTGACTGCGAGAAACATTTCATCAACCCAAACAACTTAGGCTATCTCCATTTGCCTCAATAGAACATCTTTTGAACCAATTGGGTGAACAAGTTCCTTCCTGTCCAAACAACTTTTGTAACTTGCAAAAACGTCTTGCAGAATCCTAAGATTGTTGGGTTTGGTAATTTTTAAAAATCTCAACCTGCTGCCCGTCTAGACGAATTCAATACATGCTTCATTTGTCATCAGTCATTTTGATTGTGGAAAAATTCAATCATATTTCCTACATAAGGTTCCTGGAGTCCTTATTCCAGAGGTACTGATAATCCCAGAACCTACTCACTAAATGTATAGTAAATTGGTCTATTTTAATGAACAATAGAGGTACGTAGATATGAAGACCAAGATGATGTGACCTACTGTTAGGTTCACAGTCTCCTTTAGCTTTATGTTAGTTCGACCTCGTCTTAGCAACTTGCTCGAAGGGTCAGGAAGATCTTGTAGAATGTACCGAGTCCTATCTCCTCTGCCAGTGTATTCGTGATTTCCGAAGATGCCAGCCAAAAGTTTGGGAAGGTAATAATTCACTTGCTTGATACTGGAAATCACGAATAATTTGGCAGGAGACGCGGGACTAGAGACGTTCCACAATGTCTCCCTGACGCTCCAACCAAGTTACGAATGCCAATCTATTATAGATGTGAATTTTGAGAGGCCTGGATTGTCTTGAAATCCATATTTTTCCTGTGGCCAACAGACACCGGTGTCTGTATGGCGAGTGACGGTGTGTCGCTTCACGTTAACGCATACGGTAGGGATAGTGATGAGCAAGAGAATCTATCGTCTGAGTTGAGTGAGAAGATGTTTTTGGAGGCAAAGCCAAGTGAAAGTAGATTGCACGGAATGTTTATGGAAAAATTCAACTTTTGCTTGTGTCACATTATGTCATTGAAGACGATTTGCGTACCACTGATAATGGAATGTATCCCACAATAAAATAAATCGGCCTTACGATACCATTGCATTCACCTGGCCTCGCTATTCCAAACGATTTTCTCATCCAGACTGGTCTAAAGTTTTAACTCAGCTCTATCAACTTATCATCGTTTCTTCAACATAATTTTACAATAATTCGTGGCAATTTGTGCGACACACTACCATTCCTCCCTAAAGTTTCAGGAGTCAAGGAGTCATTGGCACTTCTAGTGGGATTGTAGATTTTTTTAAACATGTTTTTTTACTACAATAG